ACATGGGAAGATTGATTATTTCTTTGACATATCTTCTTGCAGTGTAACATAAGCGTGTATAGGTTTTAAATTACTAATTAAATTGCATGCACACATTAACATAATAGGAATACAGCTACATAACCAAAGCAGACCTACAATTACCAGCCATATCCAGTGAAACCAAGAAAACCAGTTAGGCACCCTAGGCATTTGTGAAAACTTATTAATGATATGATGGATATTGTCTAACTGAATTTGAATATTTTGAGAAAAATCAGACAAATTAAAACAACACATTCCTGGGAACTGTTCACATCCCATATGTTCTTTTAACAGTAGATAGTCTCACTCAGTGTTTTTATTCCATTGTTTCCACTACTATGTAACATGCATTATCTTTTAAGCTAAAGAATAAGAGGGTAAGTTACAGGAGAACCCAGAAATGCTTTGAGTCTAGCGTTTGGAGTTGACCCGAAATGGGTTTTGATCCCACATGGTATGAGATGTACCCAACAAATAGTACCTTTAATATCTTCTAATTCTTATTTTTTTATTATCCTTATGTAATTCTTTACTCACGTTGTCCATTCCTACAGAATTAATTTTACTGTTCCCAAAATTCTATGTGCTGTACAGATTCCCTCCAAGACCATTTTATTTCCAGCATAGTTATGGCTTTATCTGCCTTTCTGCCAAAATGTTCCTGATACTGAATGTTCTATTCTTCCATTCTCTTATATCCAATCCCAATCTAGAATATACAGCTTTACTGTTTGACATTCAAATGTATCAATCAACTTCCTGTACAGTATGTATTATGTTGAATCCCTGTTCTTTGCTCTTATTTTGAAATTTAAATATTTGCAAGTCACCATTGAATCTGCTTTTTTTCTCAGTTCTCTTCCAATATTCCTCTCCAGTTCACTTACTATTTCTTTCCTTTCTATAGCCTTTTTGTAATTTTCCCAACTATTATCTTTTCTTTTTTCATCAGTTTTACTCTCTCCAACCAAACAGGGAAACTCCTTCCCTCTCAATGTCATTGAAAAGTAGGTGGGGAACAGCCGATTACCATCCTCCATTGTATGGCCCTTAACAAGTGTTTTCTGACTATGGAAAAGGAGCACAACCTGGGACTTAATGTTCTAACCCTGGTCTCCCCAGTCATCCTGAAAATCTCAAGTTATAGGACCTTAGACTGCAACACAGAGAAGTCTTCCAGGTCAAACCACTTACCTTGCCCTCCTACCATTACATTGCCACACAGTAATTCAGTTCACATACACAGAACATATGCTAACTGGTGGGCAGACAGAGGTAGTGTGTCCTGGGGTGGGGGTGAGGGGACGTTAACTGAGTGGTACTGTTCACTATGTTATGTTCACAGCAACCAGAATGTAAATCTATGCAAATGAGATTTTTTCAGAGAGAAAAAGGATAATATGTTAAAAGAGTAACTGCTTTTTTCCTTAGATTTTTGGAAGAAGGAAATTTAGAAGCTGCAGCAGCACAGAAGCAACGAGTAGAAGAACTCCAGAGATCTCGAAGACGCTATATGGAAGAAAACAACCTTGAACATATACCAAAATTTTTTAAGTAAGTCAGTCCCTTCCCATAACAAGTTCATGAGTTGTGGATGGCTGCCCCGAGCAATGAGAAATTTCAGGTAGAAAAAAATTGAGGGATAGTTTCATGTCCCAGGAACTGAAAGGTGGTTAAAAATTGAACTCATTTTGGTAACTTTTGTTTTGGCAGTGAAAATGCTGCATCAGATTTCTCACTCATGAAAGTCTGTAACCATAAAAATAAATTCCCCTTGACAGCTCTTTTCTTTTCGTGAACAGCAAGAAAAAATAGGTGAGGGTCTCATCCAGAATGTTCCTTGCCCTTCCTCTGCACCCTTCAGGACAGTGAGAACATGTTCCCATTCCCTCACTCATTAGTATTTCATTTTCTCTCTGACACACGGAGCTTGGTCTGTTCTGATTTGGTCACTCTGTTGTGTGACTGTGGGTGATTGTTACAGGATTATTTGCAGGATCATATATACATCACACAGATTGAGCTGTATTTTTCAGATCCATCTGTTGCGCAGGACAAATCAGCCCAGAATAACCTTATATCCTTTATAGTTTCCATCTCATGACTGCCCTGGGGAGAGCAGCCTTGCCCATTAGATGTTGAAAGTGCACCCTGGTCTTGGACCCTGCAGAGGCTCATAGAGCTGAGGTTGCATACTTCTCCCCACAGGTGAAGCAGAGATTATTCCTGTGGGCCTGGGGCCTGAAGCTGCTAGTTACAGTAGTTGTGTGTACTTTGGGGCCCTTCACTTTCCTGCCTTGCCTGGAACTGATTTATTCCTGCCCTCAGCCCCTCTCACTATGACCCCACCCACTTTTCTCTCAAACATTTAACAACAAAAATGAGTTTGTTTCTGATTTAAAAAAATAGTTCATCAATAAGCAGATATGACACTAACTGGCTTACAAAGTACTGCTTATATGTACACGTCTGATCTACAGGAGAGGATCCAGTTATCAGGTCTCCTGGACATGATTTGTGTCTAATGTTGATTTTTATATTTTCACAGAAAAGTCATTGATGCCAATCAAAGAGAAGCCTGGGTTTCCAATGACACCTACTGGGAGCTGCGAAAGGACCCTGGGTTTAGCAAAGTAGACAGCCCTGTTCTTTGGTAAACCAAGAATGTAGAGCTAGCCAACATATCATGCTCTGAATGAATAAATAACTATGCACAATTATGTTTCTTAGAGTTCCACGTGGTTTCTGGGTCGACCGAAAGCCAACCATTTGCTTTTCTATTCATCTTTGTAATGGACTTTCAAAAGTGCATTAGACAAGGCCCCTAACCACTTTTGGATCCTTTCTGTTTTGCTGCAACCATATTCCTTAAAAAATATCCACACCCTCCTCAAAAAGCAGAATAAAAGGAGCAGAGAATCCAAAGTCTGAAGTGTTTGTAAAGAAAAACTGCAACTGGTGCTTAAAGCTGATCCAGAGAGTTTAAAGCAACATGACATGTAAACCATGTATTTGGTCCTTTTTCTGGAAGCACCATCCCCTCATCTTAGGAGCTCCTTGGCCATGGCAGTCGGTCAGCTCAGACGTCGAATGTGTCTGTTTGATGTGGTGTACTTGTGCTGGCCTGTCAAAAAAAAATGTGATGCTTCTCTGAACCTGTTCCATCTGTACGCCATTGCTCATGCCTTAAGAAATGCAAAGATGTATAATAAATCATTTTTTTAATGTGTGCTCATAGGTTTATGTGAAGGACAGCTCTTTCGAATCATGGCATGATTCACTTTCTGGGATCAGAACAATTATGAGACTGACTTAAATGGATTTTTAAAAAGTAAGCAACATGTGCTTTGATATATTGGTTACTGTATCATATATCTAAAGGGCAAGAAAGAAAAGATGTGCTGAGTAGATCTTTGTATTCACATTGCTCATCAAGTTCCTGTCCTGTGTCCAGATAATAAACCATCCCTCTTCCACCTGACCTCACAGTGTGCCCTGTTATTTGGCAGTATCTGCATTTGATTTGAACACTTGGCATCAGTGTTAAAACCTTGGAAGGAAATAACAGAAAGCACATGGAATTTCTGTGTAGGCTTAGGAGTTACTATAAACATAACTATTTTTGAGTGCAGCACAATGTAACCCACACCTCTATCCTATGGCTAACCCATCGGCACCAGTGAAATCCCTCTGGGAACAGAAGCAAGAATGCTACTAGCTTATTTGCATTGTGTAAATGAGTTCTATGCAAAATCGCATTTTGTATTTTCATCACATGATTCTGTATGATACATGACCACATATTAAGTATTTACCTTGCTATTAGCAGAGATACAAAAGTTAAAATAAGTAATTTATCCATTCCAACGAAAAGGTTGGAGGGTGGACAGAAATGTATGTCTTTTGCATACTTCAAGATTTGTTTCTTTTCTCCACTATACAGAGGCTTTTGTAGGAAACTTGCATTGTATCCCTGAGTTTCTGCACGTAGATGACTATAAATGCCTCTAAGTTAAAAAAAAGACTCAGAGATTTTCCTAGACAATTATAAAATTACATATATTTTATTCTTGTTTTTATTCTTAGCTTCTTACCATCAGATTTGAAGTGTTATTTTAGACTGATAACAAGGTTACTGATCTTTTACATTTGTTATGAGGTGTTGACTTTAGTGTTATTTTTCCCCAGCAAAGCATTCCTAATGGCTAATCCACACTTACACCAAAACTGCTAAGAGCATAAGGGAAAGCTCAGTTTCCACTAGGTGGAGCAGTATTTTAGCTATCCTGAACCTCAAACCTTTTATTTTTATCTGAGTCCATATAGTATGTCTGTACAGTATGCATGGGCTTAGAATGAAGTTTCATTCTCAAGTAAACTCCCTAATCCATTGCCAGATCTAAATATTCCACTTAAGCCTCACCTTCCCTAGGCTTCTCAATGCCTTTCATTCCCATTTTAAATCTACAGGCAGCTTCCCTGTGGTAGCTGAAATTTCCCCTAGTTAACCATTTATCTGCTCATTGATCGTAATGTCCTTTTATCTGCATCCTGAGATACATGCCTTTAATTTAAATTGGAACTTAGAATTCTATTGACTTCCTCATAGATGTCTGTTCTCCTACAATTGGTAAAGCTTTCAGAACCATTTTAAATAGTTCTGTACTTAACTAACTTCCCTGAATGGTCTCAAAATTCTTAGCCTACAGATAAGAATTCTGCAAAGTAAAGGTACTGCAGGAAGAGAAGTAGGAAGGTGAGGCGTCAAGTGACTATCAGGCAGCTTATAGAGGAAGCATCTTAGAAGCAACTTCTGTCTGTACCTAGCATTTGGGTTGTGATTGAGAAGAAGGAAACTGCTAGCTGATAAGTTCAAGCTTCAAATCAGGTAGGTAAATGTTGATCAGAGCTAACCTGAAACTGGTTAGGATTTCAAGAGGAGAATGAAAAGAGTGCCAAATTAATTAAAATCACCACATTTTATAACATCCCAGATTTAGAAGCTCTTTTGAGACTTAGGCATCATGATTAGACTCCAAGTGATCAATTAAGTTTTAGATAATTCTGCCATAAACCTGATTCACAAATCTCCCAATAGAGTATTCCTATAAATACAATGGCTTTATCCCTCATTCCCTTTTATTTTTTATTGACATGGTGGCTATAGAATTGTGAGGCTTATCCTGTTGGGAATTTTCATCTGCATAATTTTGGGCACTGGAAACTATGTTAAACAGCAAAAGGATAAAATAAATATTAGATCATTCTTGATAAGACCTGACTTCTTAGAATTTTATATAAATCTTTTTATTTCAGGGCACTTGCTTGTTTTTCCCTAAAATAATCTAAGATGGAGGATATCCTAGATCCTCTAGTATATCTTATACCATCTCCATGATTTATTCATAAGCACACTCATCTTTTTGAGCTGGTCATTAAGGAAAGCATTGATAAGTGACCATGGTCCTGTGGATGTGGCTACACTGAACAGATTAATGGCACACACCAGCATTTGAGTAGAGGCCGGCCAGAAAGCCTTACGCTTCCATATACTCCCACCTAGTGTGCAAATTTACTCTCAGATTTTGCCGTTATATTTTAAATTAACTCATTATTTTCCCTGGGTTACATTAAAATACCCCATAATTTCCAGGCAATTGTAAAAATAAACCTCATTTCAGATACCTTTTAATACTACATGTCAACTATATGTAACACAAAGATTAACAAATGTATTTTCTGGGTAAAAGAAACCAAGAGGTTTTCAATATAAGGGATGCTAGATTGTTGATACTCCAAACCTTTTGCTCCTTATTCTGGCCCACGCCTTGCAGCAGTCCTAGTATCAGTCATTAGATCCTGCCCCAAAGAGCGCTGGGGGCCAGAGCTAAAGAGGAAACCAGGAAAACTGGCTTAGTTCTGGTTATAACTGACTGGAGAAGAGTTCGTAATCTAATGTCCATTTTTGTTACTACCTTGTGGACTTTAATTATCCTTCTTGTCTAATCTTGTTCTCTGTCATCCTATGAGGTGTTCGTGGGAGCAGAGCTCCCACACCAGGGGCTGTTGTGATAAATGTTTGCACTTTGCTCAGTGTATTATAAATGTGGCACACTAAATAAAGTTCGTGTACAAAATATTTCTATGGGAACCGTTATGTTCAGGATATACAAAATATCTAATTAAACAATTATGAATCTATTTTGTTCTATAGAAATGTTCTTTTGGGGGAAAGATGGAAAAAATATAATTGAGGCTAATATTAAAATGTGATTGGTTTTTTTCATTTTGTTTTTTCGAAAAGCCTCCCAGTAATTCAGAAAAACTCTTTATCTAACCAGGATTAGATCTTCTGAGCTATAATTGAATTTCTTTTGTAAAATTGGTACATTTAAACTGTACATTGGGTTAAGCCTGACTTTATTTAGGACATAATTGTGAGACTATACATTTGTGACTGAATTATAAGACCTTTATTGCAGACTTCACTATTAGAGAAAATGGCAAATTAAGAAAGGTTCAGCTTTTTAATTCTTCCAGAAGAAAATCTAAAGAATATGAATTACTTAAAAATTGCTATGATCAACCGCATGCCCAACATTTGAAGCAAACGAAGCCCCATGATCAAGGTAGCTCACAGGTGGCAGTTATGTGTCAGTTCTATGCAGTGTTTTGTTTTACCAAACAAGTATCTGCCTTGATTTATGTTCTTCCTTCTGTTCCTGACACAGTGAGGGGCACAGATACAGGTCTGTTCTTTTGCACTGTGTCGTCATAGTTACAAGGTGACATCCATACTGAAACCTCTGCATTTAGCCTCCTATGGAACAATACTAAATACTCATGGATTAAAAGTTACATCATAATTATTACTAGTTTCCTTGGTCTGTCCAGATTGGTAGTAAAAAAACAAAACAAGAATGTTTATTTTCTGCAAATTTTGTTTCTCTCATTCCTTCTAAATATAAATTAGGGCAGTTGTGGAGAGAGGAATAGTGAGTTTTCAGAAAATGCATAATCCTGAGTTCCACCTGTTCCTTTTAGTTCATTAGGTAAGCAAAAGCTTAATACTCGTAGAGAGAGAATAATGCTAAAGCTATCTTTTATCTTAAGCACCCACTCCCCAGCTTCCTTAATTATCTTCATCCAGTTACTTCTTTAGGAAATAATATGGTTGCTAGGAACTTTTTTTCAGTCGTTTCAAGCTTATTTTCAAAGCTTTTTGAGGTATAATTGACACAAAAAACTTTACACATTGGAGCTGTGCAACATGATAGGTTTTGACATACACTCTCAGCACCATCAGCACAATCACAACAGTGAACATACCCCCAACAAACCTTTCCTCTGCCCCTTCATAATCCCTCTCTCCTGCCCCCATCCTCCACCTCTGGGCAGTCATTGATCTGTTTTTGTTATTTTTACAAATCTGCATATTTTCTTGTGTTTATTGCATGTGGGATTTTTCTGGAAGACTGTGTGCAGTGGGTAGATGTATGCCTGCAAACCACTCCCGTGCCACTTCCTCCAGGACCCACCATCAAATGGTAACATGTACAAGAAGTTCTAGGTCTGGTAGCCCAGTAAAAATTTTAGATTTGAAAAGTATTTTTCATATCTAAATGGCCATGTAAGTTAATGAACTCATTTCCATCTTTTCGGTGTTCAATATAATGGTAACAGTGAATTTGGCAGCACTGAAGAAGCCTTGGGAAGTGTTTTTTTTCTTGTTTGTAATGAACGAGTCACTGACAAAGCCATGGGAATCCAGAATGCGACTGAAATAATGTCATTTTGATCATAGTGATCAAAGAAGCAGCTGTGCTGAGCTACTTATTTGCATCCCCAGCCCACTTTTGTGTCACAAACATTTGAAACTTTCAGTGCTCGAAGAGGTGGTTTCAGTCTCTTTTAATGCCCTTACTCCCCATAAGGAAATAAAGTTGCTAAACCAAAACTTGGAAAAGAAATGAAGTGTCCCAAATCCAGTGAACTTTCTGCCATTGGCAGCTTTACAAGTTGAAAGCTTATTCTTAAATCCTGCCCTCCAAAGCTTTGTTGCTCAAAAGTAGAAGTTTCCAGAGACTGTCAGATAAGCACAACTGACCACTGAATACCAATGAAAAGGAAAGCATGAATAAAAGAAATGGAATCTGGGAAAGAAAAATAGGTTCTCTAAGTGGGGTGGGTATCATGCTCCTTGGGGGCTGTGAATGGATCTCAGGGGGCCAGGTTGTCATATTGAATGTTTACAGGCAAGTTCCCCAGCGTCTCTCTAAAGGTTCTGAGTCCAAGATCTAGGGTGTGGACCAAAGATCAGCATTATTAACAAGCACCCTTGGCCTCCAGGGAATTTTGAGGCAGATGATGTTAGCAGCCAGAATGCTGTTTTTGCCCAGGATCCGTGTCTCAGGCGATGAAGAATGAAGCCAGCAGACCACAGTACACAGCAACCAGCAAAGCTTTTAATAAGTGAAAAAGCAAGAGCTCCTGCTAGTAAGAGGGGTTCCAAGACCAGAAGCAGGTAGAGTTGTGGTGTCTGGGGTTTATATTGCCTCCTCAGAGAAGAAAGTCCCACCCCCCTGATGATATCACAACTCACTCCTGATTGGCTGAAAGTACAATGCTTCATTTGCCTAGAGCCCAACCAGTCAGAACAGCTGAGGTCTAGCTAACTAAGTGGCTGAGTTTGCTTGGGTTTTTCTTTGAGACATAAGGGCTTTGTCCCACTACCACCTGCCTCAATGGGAACCTCCATGAGTTCCCACTGGCCTAATAGTCCTCTCCCTCCCCCCTGCTTCAACACCAGTATTTCGTTTGTTGTTTTTCCTCATAGTAACAGTCAGTAGTTGGCAAGAAAGTCGAGTTCAAGAAATGAAAACCTGCTAGAGCTCAGCGACCTGTGACTCACACTGCCACGCATGGTATCTTGTCACTTTGGTGACTTCTGTCCCAGTGCCAGTGCTGCAATATGGAGGTGAAGAGTATCCTTTATAGTTTCCATCTCATGACTGCCCTGGGGAGAGCAGCCTTGCCCATTAGATGTTGAAAGTGCACCCTGGTCTTGGACCCTGCAGAGGCTCATAGAGCTGAGGTTGCATACTTCTCCCCACAGGTGAAGCAGAGATTATTCCTGTGGGCCTGGGGCCTGAAGCTGCTAGTTACAGTAGTTGTGTGTACTTTGGGGCCCTTCACTTTCCTGCCTTGCCTGGAACTGATTTATTCCTGCCCTCAGCCCCTCTCACTATGACCCCACCCACTTTTCTCTCAAACATTTAACAACAAAAATGAGTTTGTTTCTGATTTAAAAAAATAGTTCATCAATAAGCAGATATGACACTAACTGGCTTACAAAGTACTGCTTATATGTATACGTCTGATCTACAGGAGAGGATCCAGTTATCAGGTCTCCTGGACATGATTTGTGTCTAATGTTGATTTTTATATTTTCACAGAAAAGTCATTGATGCCAATCAAAGAGAAGCCTGGGTTTCCAATGACACCTACTGGGAGCTGCGAAAGGACCCTGGGTTTAGCAAAGTAGACAGCCCTGTTCTTTGGTAAACCAAGAATGTAGAGCTAGCCAACATATCATGCTCTGAATGAATAAATAACTATGCACAATTATGTTTCTTAGAGTTCCACGTGGTTTCTGGGTCGACCGAAAGCCAACCATTTGCTTTTCTATTCATCTTTGTAATGGACTTTCAAAAGTGCATTAGACAAGGCCCCTAACCACTTTTGGATCCTTTCTGTTTTGCTGCAACCATATTCCTTAAAAAATATCCACACCCTCCTCAAAAAGCAGAATAAAAGGAGCAGAGAATCCAAAGTCTGAAGTGTTTGTAAAGAAAAACTGCAACTGGTGCTTAAAGCTGATCCAGAGAGTTTAAAGCAACATGACATGTAAACCATGTATTTGGTCCTTTTTCTGGAAGCACCATCCCCTCATCTTAGGAGCTCCTTGGCCATGGCAGTCGGTCAGCTCAGACGTCGAATGTGTCTGTTTGATGTGGTGTACTTGTGCTGGCCTGTCAAAAAAAAATGTGATGCTTCTCTGAACCTGTTCCATCTGTACGCCATTGCTCATGCCTTAAGAAATGCAAAGATGTATAATAAATCATTTTTTTAATGTGTGCTCATAGGTTTATGTGAAGGACAGCTCTTTCGAATCATGGCATGATTCACTTTCTGGGATCAGAACAATTATGAGACTGACTTAAATGGATTTTTAAAAAGTAAGCAACATGTGCTTTGATATATTGGTTACTGTATCATATATCTAAAGGGCAAGAAAGAAAAGATGTGCTGAGTAGATCTTTGTATTCACATTGCTCATCAAGTTCCTGTCCTGTGTCCAGATAATAAACCATCCCTCTTCCACCTGACCTCACAGTGTGCCCTGTTATTTGGCAGTATCTGCATTTGATTTGAACACTTGGCATCAGTGTTAAAACCTTGGAAGGAAATAACAGAAAGCACATGGAATTTCTGTGTAGGCTTAGGAGTTACTATAAACATAACTATTTTTGAGTGCAGCACAATGTAACCCACACCTCTATCCTATGGCTAACCCATCGGCACCAGTGAAATCCCTCTGGGAACAGAAGCAAGAATGCTACTAGCTTATTTGCATTGTGTAAATGAGTTCTATGCAAAATCGCATTTTGTATTTTCATCACATGATTCTGTATGATACATGACCACATATTAAGTATTTACCTTGCTATTAGCAGAGATACAAAAGTTAAAATAAGTAATTTATCCATTCCAACGAAAAGGTTGGAGGGTGGACAGAAATGTATGTCTTTTGCATACTTCAAGATTTGTTTCTTTTCTCCACTATACAGAGGCTTTTGTAGGAAACTTGCATTGTATCCCTGAGTTTCTGCACGTAGATGACTATAAATGCCTCTAAGTTAAAAAAAAGACTCAGAGATTTTCCTAGACAATTATAAAATTACATATATTTTATTCTTGTTTTTATTCTTAGCTTCTTACCATCAGATTTGAAGTGTTATTTTAGACTGATAACAAGGTTACTGATCTTTTACATTTGTTATGAGGTGTTGACTTTAGTGTTATTTTTCCCCAGCAAAGCATTCCTAATGGCTAATCCACACTTACACCAAAACTGCTAA